TATTCATGTCAAATCCTGACACTAATTTAATTTGAGCACCTACGATATCATATTTGTAAAATTAATTGTCCATACCATCTAACACGTCTCCTAAATCTCCCCACTTTGTTCACCCCCTGCTCCCACCCCTACCCCGCAGGCCGCTACCACACTCTTCCCTGGTAGTATACTAGCATAAGGAAGAGGTAAGGAGATTTAGGAGGGTAAAAATTATTAATTTTAAAACCGATATTCCAATTAAATTGGTATAGTATTATAGTCATCGGTACGGTAATGAGTACTTTGGGCTCGCATACCTTTACTTTAAGTACGTATTCAATTTTTCAACCAAACTTAGAACGACAATTACGACTCAAAGTGGGCCCAGGCCCAAGTGGGTTTTCAGCAATTAAATTTCTCTTAAAAAAATATGTAAGATTATTTTGTCTTTTTTCAAAAAAATTTTCCGGGTAAATATTCCTTCTGTCTAATACTACGTATCATTCTTTGTGTTTGATTTTTTTTTTTATAGTTTTTGATTCAATATTTTGTCTATTAATATAATTATTCAGCATATTAAAAATATAATATTTCAGAACAAACTTATAAAATGAACCTATTGATATAAAATATGAAGTATATATCACAATTTAAAATGTTTTTTTCCATAAAATGTAGTCAAAGATTAAAAACAAATGAAGTACTCCCTTCACAAATAACTTCTTTCTCACTTTCTTTTTTGAGTTGTCCAATTTTTTTGCATGTTTCCTATTTTGGCAAAAAGAAATTTAATGAATATGCCATTATATCTCTGCTTTTTATGTATAGTGTTCACTTTATTCAATTACATCAAATGCAACACATCAAAAGTCTTTACATTTTTTAACTTGTTTTAATCTTCGTGTCAAGTCAAATTGAGAAAAGACATTTTTTGACGAACGGAATAGTAAATATGATACTCTCTCTCTGTGTATGTGTGAGAGTGTGTGTCTTTGAACAAATGTAATGCTTTAACTTCAAAAAAATTGAAAGAATTTTTGAAAAATATGAGTAATGCTAGAATCACAAATAAAACAATCACAAAATTCACAATCTTGCTAAATATGCAACATAAAGGTATCAAATAATGGTTTCAAATAATCAAAAATAAATATTTAAATGCATAAAAGGTAAGATTGTGAATTTTGTGAGTATTTTATTTGTGACTCTAGCATTACTCGAAAAATATAAAATATGCATATAGAATTTGAGTAGAATGAGAATTACATTTTTACGGGGACCGGAGAAAGAAATTTAAATTTTATTTTGGAACAAATGAAAAAAAATGTTACTTTTATTTGGACACAGAGGAGTAGCTAGTGCGTAAATTGTGTTACGAATTAATCATTATTGAATCAAACTAGACAAATTTTATACTACTCCTCTACTCCCCAAAATGGGAAGTAGAAAGAAATTTTGTGAATGAAAAGTAACATGCAATATAGATTTTATTTAATTGATGCTCAAAATATGCTTAGTTTGATTGAAAAAGAAAAACTAAACCCATACTTTGGGATGAAGGTAGTATCTTACTTTACTCAGTTACGTTAAAGCTTATGCTTAGCATAAAATTCTTACACGTGTTCTATATAAATACATCTCATCAATATTTTTATTCATACATAGATATATATTATAAAAATATAATATTTCAAAACTATGTTTCAAAGTAAACATATTGATATTCGATATATATCATAATTCAATTTTTTTTCTAACTCATAATTAAAGTTTAAAAACACGGAGCATTAGAGCTAAGTCTATGGACCTTAGTATATAAATATTATGTATGATGTTTTTGGTTGGATGGGTAAATTCGTTCCTTGACATTTGTAAAAACTCTAAAAAGAATACTCCATATGAAGTATTATGATCTGATATTAAAATAACATGCTAAAGAATATATGTGTTTATAAAAAAAATTATATTTTAATGCTATACTCTCGTATTACAAGACTGGTTCAATTCTAGTTCGATCTCGGTCTAGTGTTTTTTCGCAAAAGATTACCGTGCCTGAATGAGATCAGTCTAGTTTTTCACCCAAGTTAAGAGGACCAAATGAGACTATTGATTCAAGATCGGACCGATCCCAAAGACTATTTTCGTCTCAATTTTTTTGGTCATGCTTGGGGAGGTACGTAGTACATGGCTACTAGCTGTGCAATAAAAACTGGGTAGATGATTGGATGTAATTGAAATGGGTGAAAGTGTGACATTAAAGAGTGATTTGACACAAACGAACCTAAATTCACCTTCTTTTTCTTCTTTTTTTTTAACAGTTTGACAGTAAAGTTAATTAAGAGACTGTTTGACAACACGGTACTTTTAAGAATTTAGTTTTTGCTTTGAGTGGTAATGGTTTATACTGTTTAACATGTCACATTTTGTTTTTCTCCACCACTATTTTATACGCAGAACACCGTTTGGATGAAGCAACTATGAGGTGCTTTTGCTTTGAGCTTTTGTAGAAATCACTTTATCCATAAGTTAATCACTCCCAAACACTTTCTAAGTGTCTGTCTCTAAATGTTTACCACGTTTCAAAAAACGAGACAAAATATCAATTTTTTCCAATTTATTTTATTTAAATATTGGTATAGAAATAAAAAAATAAAATTTACATATTTAAAAATTACATGAAAATAAACAAAAATTCTCATGACTGTTGAAAAAGCAAATGTGACAAACAAGTTCAACGGTTAATTTTAATATTGTGAATAAATTATTTAACATTAGCTTCTATGTTTTAATCATTGTTTAAGATAAAAATCTGAATCATTAAGAAAATTCAAAACATTAACGTTAATTAAAAAAAGACAGCTCCTAAATAGAGCCTAATGCATTTGGTTTTGTTGGACCACTTCTACCAAATACCTCTGGTATTAATTTATTGTGTTAATTATTTTCCTTTATTTGGTTCCTTGCTCCCTCTATAGCTCATCAGGGGCTCAAGTTGTTGTTGGGTGTCAGCATTGCCCACACTCAAAAATGAATGAAAGTTGCATTCAATATATGTCCCAACTTATCCCCATTAATATGAGACTATGATGCTTATTATGAGGAGATACTTTGAAAAATCATGTGAGTTTTGTTTAATGAGGTGGAACGCCCACTCCGGGTGCCCCTACACCCCGATCCAACAAGATAGTGAGAGGGGTAAATCACGATATAGGACTTGTTTAGAAATAACCCTAGAGGTTAGCGTTAGCGTTTTTGATAAAATTTTAACGGTGCAGATTATTTTGAAAACGCTAAACGATGCGCGTAGATAGTCATTTCAAAACGCTAATGCTAATCGAATCTCTAACGCTATTATTCCCGAACAGGTCCATAATCTTAACCTGATCCTTAAAGAGGTGAGTTTTGTTTAAAATTGAGCAACATATTTGATGTGTTTGTAATTATCTAAAAATAAATATATGCAAACTTGATTCATGTAAAGCATTAGTATTTCATTAATGAAGTTAATGCATTAGACAATATCACACATGTAGTCATTGATTGTAAAAATTTAATGTCGGTAAAATACTAGTGGTTTCAATTTTAGAGCTCATTTGGTGAGTTTTTGAAGATTAATATAATATGTACTTTAAAATATGAAATGAATGTTATGGATTTTACAATCTCAAATGAAACCGTACATTTGGAAAAATTTGAAACGATTGATTGCAGTGACAGACGAGGAGATTGGCTGCGGTTTAAAGAAATCAAAATTACAATGTGAAATCCTCCAAATTTGATAGATATTAAAACACCTTCAAAAATAGTTTCATACTCCCTCCGTCCTTCAGTTTTTGTCCACTTTCATTTTTGCACACTATCCAATGCACTTCTTTAATCCATTTTATCTTGTAATTTGTATATTAAAAAATTGAGAAATTTACCTAAATAGCACTAAAATATAATGACTTTTCCTAAATAACACTACATATGTTTTTTTCTCAATGTAGCACTTTTAGTCATTATCCATTAGTCATTATTCAAGTAAATGTTTGCTATCACTGGTTATTATGGACATTATAAAGTGCTATTTAGGGAAGAAAACAATCTAAGTGCTATTTAGAGAAATGATTTAAGTTTTAGTGCTATTTAGTGCAAATATTTCTAAAAAATTATAGAAATTACTCCATTAATAGTCTATATGTTAAGACAAATCAAACAAGATCATACATGACTATATTTAGGCTTACACATTGAGAGAATTTGATGAGTCAAAGTGTTTAGATGAACAGTTCCAAAAGTCAAAAGTGGACAAAAACTGGGGGACGGAGGGGGTATTTATTTGTTGATATTATAACTCATATCTCATACGTTAATCAAACATGCCTCAAATGATAGACCTGAGGCATAACTCAAATGAGAGTACCTATACCATATATCCGAATGTACGAGATTTCCCGTGCATTCGCAAGAATACTCATTGTCAAGTAACAATGAATTCATTTTCGAGTAACAGACTACTCTTTTTCGAATAACTGAATGTTTATTTTCAAGCATAACTGAATTTTAAAGAAATGAGTACTGAATTATTCGAGGATGACTATTCACTTGCTTGAAAATGAGTATTCAGTTACTCGTAAATGACTAAATGAGCACTCGCTGTGGAGGTACGAGAAACAACATATAACCGGTTGTACGATACTCCGTATATATTGTCAAGAGAGTGTCCTATTGTCATGTGGGAGACGTCATCCACACATCCCAACCACCAAATGACCAAAATAGAGCATGAGAAACAAACTACGGAAGGGATACAGAAAGAACAAGGAAAAAAGACGCCATTTTTGGGTGTGTTTTTTTTCCTCCACTTCTTCATCTTCTCCAACGAGCACTTACCCGCCCTCTCAGGTTTGGGGGTTTAGACTTTTTGGTGATTTTTAGTCAAATTCCTTCATGGTACACAGCCCCATATCAATCAATAATATGATTTGAACAATTTAAAGAAAAGCAGTAAGAGTCACTTATATGGTAGGCCCATTGCAGGTACACACCCAAAAAGACTGGATCTTTAGTGCTCTGATGAATCTTTTTCTTTTTTACACTTCTATTTTTCTTCCCTTTTATAATTGTCCACATACCTTGCCTGCACATATTATCATTGCTCTCCCCATTTCTCCATTCAAAGATCCATTCTTTCATTTCTTTATTTTTTCCCCATTGACCATACCTGAAAAAAAAAGAGACTTGTGTGCTCCCCAGTCTCTCTGCATGTCTTTGGAGAAAAGGGGTATTGAATTTTTGAAAGGATCCACCATATATACTTTTATTTTTAATTTTTATTTATAAAAAAAAAAAGAAACCTTTTTTGTTGTTGTTACTTTTGGCTTTAAAGTGGTGCTCATCTTTGCAGAATTACTTTGCTTTGCTTTTCAGATTCTTGGGGTTCAAAGAGTGACAGTTTCTTGGTGTAAAGGTGAATTCTTGATTATCATGGAAATATGGTGTTTGGGGTTATGCTTTATTAAAATGCTCTTTAGTGTGTGTGTGTGTTTATAACTGCTGCTTCAGTTGATTACTTATGGTTTTGGTAATTTTAAAATGGGCTTACAGATATGCTTTTCAGCAGAGCTAAAACTAAGCACTTGCCAGGTTTACTTATATAGCTTTTGTTTTTCCAGGAAACTACAGTTACCCAAAATACCCTCTGAATGTATGATAAGAAAAAAGGGTAAAGAATCTTGAGGTATGACACTGGGATTCTTGAATTATTGGAGTTCAATCATTGTTTTTTTACCTTTTTAGCCCTCTTTTTTTTGTTTGACTGAAATATTATATTGTTGGTTTTGTGTGTTTGGGGAAAGTGTAGTGGGAGAGTAATGATGGGAGAAGCGTATGAAGAAGAAGATGGATTTGCAGAGAACCTAAGAGAGAAACTTGCAGTTGCAGTTAGAGATATTGAATGGAGCTATGCTATTTTTTGGTCATTTTCCTCTTCCCAGCCTGGGTGGGTACCCTTTCTTGTATCCATTTCTGCTTGTGTGTGACAATATGTCCTCTATCCCGCTCCGTTTCGTAGCCCATTTTAGCTTCATTCCGTTTTTCTGCAACAAAAACAAGTTGCTTTTGGTTTGCTTATTTGGGATATAAGTTGTTTCTTCACTCACCATATGGCCCATTTCTTGATCCTTTCCTCTTTAGGACTCAGCACACAGAGATGAAACTTTTTTTTCTCTCATTTCATTTTGTTACTGCTATTGTTATTTAGTCTTTTCTTGCACCATTGGCACACGCTGGTATGGAGTACAAAGGCAGATTTTGGTCACATTACATTATGTTGCTATGAGACGCGATCACGTGACTATAGTAACCGAATTTAGTTCGTCGTTTCATGACTTCTGATTCTTGGAATCAAAGTTTGGATTTTTTTGGCCAAACACTATAAACATTAGCTATCAAGATTCCCTCTTGGCCCCTTTTAATTTACCTTTAGGTAGAGATTCCTTGGCTGATTTGGCTAATGTTTTAGAAAGGAAAACATATATCTCTATTTCCATGTAGGGGTAATGTCTGCCTACACACCCAACACCCAAGACCCTACTTTTTGTGGGATTTTACAGGGTTTTTGTTGTTATTGTTCTGGAAGAATAACGTGTTTGGTCTGAGAAAAAAAATGTTTGTTTTTAGAATTATGTCAATCTTTTGCAAGTATATTTGGTGAGATAAGATAATGAAGTGTGAATGTGGCATAGGGTTGTGGAATGGGGAGATGGGTACTACAATGGAGATATAAAGACGCGGAGGACGGTTCAGGCAACAGAGGAAACGAGTGTTGATGACGTGTTGGGATTGCAGAGGACTCAACAGTTACGAGAGCTTTACGAGTCTCTCTTAGCTGGCGAGCCCAACCCGCAGTCCAAGATCCATTCTTCGGTCGCCCTCTCGCCCGAAGACCTAACCGATACGGAGTGGTATTTCTTGGTCTGCATGTCCTTCATGTTCAACCTTGGCCAAGGGTAATCATCATTTCTACTCATATGATTTAGTATTGGATGGGAGTAGGGGTTGGACACGTATCCGAACCGGAACCGGTACGGGCAATGGGTTCGAACTCGGAACCGCCCAGAGGCAGTTCCGGTTCTAACATTTTGGAACCGGAATTGGCGGTTCTGATTCATTTTTGTTTTGTTTCGTCTTTTTTCGAGTTCCAGGTTGCCCGGGAGAGCGTTGGCGAAGAACCAAAGCATTTGGCTGTGCAACGCGCACCAAGCGGACAGTAAAATCTTCAGCCGATCGTTACTCGCCAAGGCAAGTTATTGTTTTGATGATTCTTCTTATTACCAAAATATGTAAATGTGACATTTTTTTTACCATTTTCTATGCTCAATGAGCAGACTTTAATCTTCTTTTGTTGTGTTTCCTCTTCATCTTCTTCTCCTTGCAGAGTGCATCCATTCAGGTAAACTTTTCAGTAAAATCCTACTGGTTTTCGATTCAAATGTGATTTTTTTTTTAAAAAAATCTTTTTTACTGGTGGTAAAAATCCATATTGTAGACAGTTGTATGTTTTCCATACTTGGGAGGTGCAATTGAGCTGGGAGCTACTGACCTTGTGAGTTTTTTACTTTTCATTTCAGTTAGCTTTGTATTACTGCTTTTAGAATTGAAATTAATTTTAATTCAGTTGAATTTGATGATAAAATGAATGATCATTTCCCGTCGGAAATTAATTTGTTCACTTTGATTTCACAGAGTTTAAAAAAAATATTAAAACGAGGTAAAAAGGTAGGAATTTTTGTGAAGAGAAAAATAATACTACTCAGAGCACTGGTAAAACCCCTCACGCCCACCGGCGTTACTGGGCGTTTAACGCCCCGGGGGCGTTAAACACCGCCCCCGCCGGCGTGAAACGGGCGTGAGGGCGCCTGCGTCATTCGTTTGACGCGGCGTGAGGGCCGTTTTTTCTTCCCAACGGCTATAGAGCCGTTACTCCCCCCCCCCCAATTAAAAAAAAATTAAATTTAAAAAAAAAACCTATAAAATACCCCCTTCTCATACATCTTCCTCACACCTCTCTCTAACAAATCTCTCTTTATTACGGAGTACTATATATTCTCTCAAAAAAAATTATTATTGATTATAAATATTTATAAAATATAATTTAAAAATGGGTTCATCTTCCGACGATGAAAGAAGAGCTTTATTTTTTCGTTGTTTCGCGACGAATTGTATTCAATGGTGGGAAGATGGCCAAGAAGAAGCCGAATCCTCCCGACGGCGGACCCGACGCCAACGTCTTAACCGAGCGGCCGCCCACGATTCACTTCTAAACGACTACTTTAATAATCCGTGTGTTTACACACCGGAGGATTTTAGTAATCGTTTTCAGATGAGTCGTCCTCTGTTCTTACGCATACTCGCCGATGTTGAACGCAAAGTTCCTTGGTTCAACCAACGGTTTGATGCGAGAGGCCGACGCGGGTTTAGTAGCGTCCAAAAGTGCACTGCCGCGCTTCGTCAGTTGGCGTACGGGACGACATCCGATATGTTCGACGAATACTTAAAGATGTCTGCTCGGAGCATCAGGTCCTGTGTTTTTAAATTTTCAAAGGCTATTATTCAAATTTATCATAAAAGATATTTACGCAAGCCTACAGCGAGTGACATCCAGCAGTTGCAGGCGAGGCATGCCGCAAAACACGGCTTTGTCGCCATGCTTGGGAGTATTGATTGCACGCATTGGGAATGGAAAAATTGTCCCACTGCGTGGCACGGTCAATTCTCCCGGGGAGATCATCCCAAGCCTACCATCATGCTCGAAGTTGTTGCTTCGAATGACTTGTGGATTTGGCATGCTTTTTTCGGTGTCGCGGGCTCGAATAACGACATCAACGTTCTCGATCAATCCCCTGTTTTTGAT